TACCCAAAGCCCCAGGTTGTTTGGATTCATAATGGATAGTTTCGACCAACCAAAGGCTGATCCACATGACAATGAGGATTTGGAGTGTGCGGAAACCGCAGTTGTTTTGGCAGGTCGTGTCTGGTCGGTCTTGAATTGCACCTTTGAGACACGCTTCATAAGCCCAAAGTGTCCAGTTCAATCTATTGATCAATCGATCGCCATATACCCTGGAACCAGTTTGTACATACCTGTTTGGGAGGCTAGAAGCAAACAACTATACCTCTGCTCAGACTTGTGGAAGCCAAACAAAAGCAATGTCACAAAACGACTGGGGTGCCGAGAGAAACCATATACAGACAATATACGGAGTAAACACAAGAAGGCGTAGTTTGGAAGTAAGTCTGGTGCAAATACAGACCGCGGTTTGAAGTATACAAAAGTCGTAAAAATCAAATGGTAGTTGAATGATCACCTACCGATTAGCACGAGGGGCAACGAGATTACCCCATCGTTCACCAGCATCGTATTCCATAATTAGGTGGATGTCCTCTTCCGGAACAGGCGGTAAACCAAACGCCGGAGGAGCGGTTAAACCTGTGAGAGTGGGGGGAGAGGGAAATAAAACCAAACGATCTAGCCAACGAAGACAAGCCACATTAAAAGAAGAAATGATAGAACGGAAATCGAATAGGCGTTCATCGACTAGGTAAGTTGTTGCCGGCACATTCCCGGTGTCGGAACGGATACTGTGCACCCACTGGGAATTTTAATTTGCATTACCTCGTTTTAAACCCAGGGACCAGAACACGCCATTAAGTAGATATGAATGCCTCATTTGTTACTGCTTGCTTACCAAGCCCGCCTATACTAGATTCACAAACGGATTTTGATCCTGTGCGCAGGTGTCAAAAAAGAACTGTCTTTAACGCCACAACGGGCGATCACCAATATGGTTCGCTTGACAATTGTTGTTCACCATTTGGATAGGTTACACACAGAGGTGAGTGGAATACGCAAACGCACACACACACACACACACACACACCACTTATGGGTCTTTGTAGTATATCTGTTGAGTGAAGTTTTAGCACATCATAAATACGTGGTGTTTGGCTTGGCATGCCAAAAAATAGACAGCAGATTCCAATAGTTATAAGTTCACTCCTTCCACCAATTGTCACACTGAAGTGTGTGATAGAAACAATAGGGCGATTGTGAAGGAATATGTTGATAATCACCGACGCACTGTACACGCGACAAATAGGTAGAGTGAAGGAGATGGAAATAAAAAACAGATAACTTTTACGTTTCTTCTTTCTCATCACACACGCACACAGACCTCGAAGAGATGAACAGTGGGAAGGGTGAACATCAGAATCTCAAGGACTAAAAATGTGAGCAGCGAAATACAAGTTCACACCTTGGGACTCGAAGATGAAAAGTCACACAAAGCATCGATGGGGACGGGTGTAGTGCAGAGCAGGATGGCGGCACAGTGGTCTCGTACTACCGCTTCACAAACGGCCTCCTCCTCCGGCTCAAAACATTCTAGCGTGGTTGGATAACAGGTATTGTGGCGAACAGGAAGCTAAAAGCCAGATGTAAGGCACCTTATTCTTCATTATACTTATATTAAATTTGATTTTTATAGATTATTTATAGGGTGATTAAACAAAGAAGTTCCTGCAATATACCCCAGGATCGTAACCGAAAGTCAAATTGGTAAACAAGCACGTTCTCGATGCTTTATTCACTAACCACCATAACAGCTCTCATTTGTGGGTCACCAAGAGAATTTCAATTGTAAAAATGCCGTCATAAATAAAATTAACTGCAGGGTGGGTTAGTGAAACTCTCACAGTATGGCCCCTCCATCATTACCTCCCGACTAGCAATTTAGTTGATTACGTTTTGGATTTCGGTTTGTGAGCTTATAAATGCTGACCACTACAATATCCCAAATTTCAATTTTTGAGTATTCAGCTTGGATTAGCCCATTCGATTGTTCAGAAGTATCAGACACTCTTGATGGTCTTGGGTATGGGTTTCACTCCTTGGGAGATCGCTAACTCCCCAATAGTTGAATGCATTTAAATGCGATGGAAATGTCTGTGATAACCGACAAAGAGCACTGGATATTTGCCTCGTTCTGTTTGGGACTGAGGTTGGGTCATTCTAACAAGATGAGGATAAGGGTTTGAAGTCCGAAATCGAAGGTTCACGGTTCGAAGCCTGACAGGGACACAAAAAATACGCACTGTTGACGAGTCCCAGGCAGGACGAAACAGCTGTCCACTGCTCTTTGTCGGTTCTCACAAACATTTCCATCCCAACTTTCACACTAAGAATCTGTGAGGCTTGTCTGCTCAAGCCTGAGTTTGGTTAACTACAATGCCCATGACTACGGGGCTAATAACCAAAGAGAGACAGGACCGTGTCCGACTCACTTTGGATACAAGTTGGCAGGTGGCTGCGTTGCCGCGCGGACAAGCGTGCGGCAATTGAAACTTCGGCCCCTTCAGCTGCGAGCCTCACAGCCATAACGGGTGCACTGCCTCCGAGACTCCACCAGGCGATTGGTGTAGTGCTATTTACATCTTCCTCCAAATGAAACACGTCCACACCAGACACGATTGTGGATGTGAAACGGGTCTTCCAATCCGGTGGAACGAGGTTGGCTGCAGTGTGAACCATGTGCTGGAACAGTGTTTTATTCATCACCGGACGCCTGGGACAGAGATGAGGAAATGAGGTAAAATTTAGGGATAGAAAACAGTATCTTTTAGCTCCATTGAGCAATCAAACAACAAGCCAATAAATAATTGATCTGATCCGAAAACTCTATGAATTACCACAGATACATAAAGATGGAGTGCCTCTCCAACCAATTCTAGACATATGTACCATGCCCCGGCTAAGTGGCTGGTAGTGATCACGGAACACGTGAAAGCACAGCTCACCAATCACAAATTAAACGATTCGTGTGACTTGTTGACCACAATTAAAGATTCAAACTTCAAAGGATTACGCATGATATCCCTCAGCGTCAGTTCCCTCTTTACAAACGTTCTTATTGCTGAAACTATTAAATACATATATGAAATTGGAATACCAGTTAGTGATCACTAACAATTGTTATACTTGTACACATAAAACACAATTTAAATTCAACGACGAAGTTTATCGTCAAATAGGTGGGGTAGCAATGGGGTTCACCCTTCGCAGATATCTTCACGGCTAAGCTAGAGAATAACATCAAACGAACAATCGATCGCTGCCCGTTAAACCAACAGAGGATGCGATTCACTGCCTAACATTTATTCGCGATTCACGATATCATTACTTTTATTGAACACATACATTCGGTCCCACAGATCGTGAAATGATTACCACTACACATCTACTATTCAACTATTGCAAATCGAACCCTTAAGATGCATCCAATTTAGTGATTCCAATTTGCTGTGCACTTCTGATAGATCACATAAATTTACTAAATACGCGATCACGTTTTCAGCAAACATTCAAAACATTCGATTTCACACACACACACACACACACACAGTTGGGAAATGTGCGATTGTATCGTGCGCTGTGTTCGTCCTCCTGAACCCGCTCCTCCACCTCACCCGGAATCGAACACCCATCGGTCCGTGAAAGTGCAGCTAAGCATATCGAGTAAAACGGGATGAGATATGGCTTACTCAATGGCAGCACCGGAAACGAAGCCACTGGCGAAGCTGAGAGCAATATTTTCTCCGGTGATTAGTTCCCCCGAATGATCGTAAGCCCGGAGTTGCTCCAGAGACAGCGCTGGCGGTTCAAATCCAAGGGCTTTCAGCAA